GGTGTGGAGTGCTTCCTCCCGATCCTCTGCACACCCTTATGGCAAAGTGGTGCTTCTCAGCAGGGCCGCCGGTGCTCACCTGCCTGCCCTGCACTCCTATTCTTCTGGCCTTGATTTCTGTGCCACCATGAGGGACTGGACCATGGCCCCAGAGGGAAGGGATGGTCCCCCCAGGAGGACCCCCCACAAGGAGCAAAGGGGGATGAGTGTGCTCTGTTTTAGATACCCTCCAAATGTAAAAGCTACTATTGCACAACTCCCCCCGCCCCTGCACCTATTCATTGGAGATTTGGTGGGCCTGCTGAGGAAGTGGAAATACCACCGTAACTTGCATGTAAATGTACCAAGAAATCACAAATGGCAGTTTTCTTTATAAAACTAAAAGCTAAAGTTGAAGATATGTCACGAAAAAAGGTCATACATGTGTTTTCCTGAAATTTGGCAGAATAATCTTCTCTGAAGGAGCCTGTAAATCCCATCCCATTCTATCAGAGAAAAAAGTTGTGCTGGTTTTGTGGTTTGCCACAATGGCCAATAGGAGGCGCAAAGCCCTGGACTTCTGAATCTCAACTCAGATGTGATACCTGCATAAACGCAGATGATCCCCAAGTTGATCTGAGCTGGATCAAGCCATCTCCTGAAGTAGAAAATCAGAGTCCAAGTCCAATCTGGTTGGTGCACGCTGTGAGTGAATGCTCTTGCATAAGGCAGGGATGCAAAGCAACTCCCAGAACTGGTGAAGAATGCAAGCACCAGCCAATTGTGCATTGAAAACCTTCAAGTGCAAATGCTGCTTGAAGAAGCAAGGATACTCTATTTGGACCACATGCTTTCCAAGGCCACCTGAGAGAGTGCAAGGCAAAGCGGAAAACGATACAGAGAAAAGGGGCAGGTTTTACCTCTGGCACCATCGGCAACAAAGCTTCCTCCATCCTATTTTCAAAGCTTGCTGTTGTTATGTGCCATTAAGACACCTCTGACTTATGGTGACCCTATGAGTGAAAGCCTGATTGAGTGTAACTATTATTTTCTCACTGAATTAGCTACATTTTGTACGAATATTTATATCCTATAAATAATGGAGAACGCTTCTGCCCATAGCCATTGTTTGTTTCCACTGCCATGTGCAATTTCGATTTTCCAGAAACGAATGACAAAAGCAGCATTGCTATATGTTGGATGTATTCCATAAAGTGAAATAGGAATTCTTAAAATCTTTAACTTTAATAGTTTCAGATCTTGAAATGTGGCTTATCTGGAGTTCTAATATTACTTCATATCACCAGAGTGATCTCACAAGTTTTCTTACACTTCTTCTCTTTCAGACAAATTCAGGAAGCTGTGACAAAGAGAAAGGAAAATAGGGAATGAAGGGGGGGGGGGGGGGCTGTTTGAATCTCTTTCCCAAGTTTTCTTCATATCACTGAACATCATTATAACCTAATCAGAACAGCATTCTTTTCTAGTCTTTTCTCTGTCCAAGGTGCTGATTGTTTATAAAATGAACAATAATTGAAATTAAAATGGAACTGGCTGGAATATGGACCATTAGTTAAAAGGCAGCACACTATTTAGGCCAATTTTAATCACCCAAAGGTTCTGTCATAATTACAGTTTCTTTGTTATTATAAACTTGCTTATTGCAAAAAAAATGTTGTTCTTAAAAAGAAGAGCCATTGCCTGATCATATATATATATACATATCTGTAGAGAGCATCTTCCCAATAATACTAAGTCAACCCAGCCCCAAATGGCTTTACACAAGTGCTTTTACACTCCAATCACCCCCTTTAACACCTTCAACTCTCATTCTTCAGCATTACATGGACCAGGTAGACTATTTCCATACTTCCCATGACCCTTCCGGGTCACCAGTTGGATGTTATCCCAAATTATTCCCTCAGAAATTAAAAACTACTGTCTATGAGGAAGAAGGGTATGGAATTGAGGTTTGCTGACCTCTAAGCAGGATTACCGTAATGCGCTTTATGTGGGGCTGGCCTTGAAGACTCTTCAAAAGCTGCAACTTGTGCAAAATGCAGCTGCCAGAGTAATAACAAGGACCAGACAGCATGAGCACATAACACCAATTCTGGCCCATCCGCATTGGCTGCCTATATGCTCCCAAAGCCTCATTCAAGGTGCTGGTTGCAATAGATACATGACTTGGGACCACAGTCCCCGCCTCTCCCAAACACCATCTACCTAGACACAGCTATCAAGCTCTGGGGACTGCCTCCAACTGCCACCCCTGAGGGAGACTCAGATGGCGGCAACAAGGAGAAGGTCCTTTTCAATTGTGGCCCTCCAGTTCTGGAATGAGCCCCCCACTAAGGCCCACCTGGCACCAGCTTTGCTATTTTTTTCAGCACCAGACTAAGGCAGGGCATTTAATCAGTGCTTAATGAGGTTCTTGTTTAAGTTACTGGAATGTTTTGTAAGTTTAAAAATTGCTTTTAAATTGTATATACCAAGCTTTTTTAAATGATGCTTTATAATGTGATGTGCTTTGAATGACAATTTAATGGATTATTGGAAACCACCCACAAAACTGCAGCTAATTGGGGGGGAGAAGTTAAATAAATAAACAGACAAATAAATAATATTGTCCCCTGTGTGGATAGCAAATCAGTGTAAACAGAGGTGATCAGCTGACCACTTCAGTTTTAAACATTAGAAGAGTTTGGAAGGAGCTCTCCCTCAGCAACACAGTCTATGTTCAGTTTGGGGCTGCCAAATAAACAGGGTGTGCCTGTAAATGGTGGTCCCTGAGGTATTCCCTAATTGTGTGAAACAATCCCTGAAAATGGTAGCTTCAGAACCTGCACAAATAGGATTCTGGACCGACTTCTTCTGCTTCACTTTGATGTCTCATGCTTTGCCTCCTTTTCTTCTTTTTTAATTTAATTTTAAAGAATTAATTAATATAATAACAAGGAACATAACTGATCATTACGAATAAGCATAATTAAGCAATACAACAATGCCAGTGCTACCCCCACCAGGACCAACAAATCAAGTCACTTAATGCAAGATCATTTATTCAATCAGGTTGCCCCACTTCCCTTCCAAATCTGCATTGACTTCTGCGATGGTTCACACCCCTTTCCTTTTATTAAAACATATTCAATAAATGGTCTCCAAACATTTTCAAAATTGTTTTTTCTTAGCAAGCCTTTTTTCCATTTAATATCACAAGTTATCTTATCATTAATAGCTCTATTCCAGACTGCTTTGCCTCTGATCCTCTCTACACTCCCAGCTCCAAGGCTTTCAATAATGATGCATCTGTTTAGATGCTTCAAAATTTGCAAATACCTTTAACCCTTTTCTTTCTGATGTGCAGCAGGAAGCAAATAGGGAAGCTGGTGATCTGAGCATGTGTTTGCTTTCACTTTACAATGCCAGAAAAATGCAGGAGGCTACTGAAAAGGAGACATTGTTCAATCAGCGATATTAGAAGTGTGATGTATGCTCATGTTTGCTACATGTGCGGTGCCAATTTTGTCCATTGTACTTCTTTGAGCTGAGCTTATATTTGCATTACATTTCCTTTCACTGCCAAGTAACGTCATTGTAGACAAGCTTCCAATGCATATATAACCACTACGCTCCTTTACTTAAAAAAATAAACCTTAAATTTTAAAAAATGGATTTTAGTTTACATTTTAGTCTAAGGTGATGTTTCCCTGCTTGGAGTAGCTTGATTACCATTAGGGTGCCTAAGACCCAATTAGTACAGGTTCTGAAGTTAAAAAGGGCAAACTAACACATGGGTTACTCCAGAACTACCTCTGCATAACGCTGCCTGGTTAGCGGCCAGCGAAAACAGGGAAAGAAACCAGGTACAGTCCTTCCTCTCCCTGAAGCATGTGATATTTTGAAACAAATTAGATGGCTTGTATTTATTTGCTTGCTTGCAAGCTGCAACATGAATGTTGATCAATTTATGCTGTCCATTACATTGCATCTCTTTTTTTTCTTTTTAAAAATGCAGAATGCATTTCATAAGGCACTAATAAACTGTTTGGGAAGGAGGGCGTGAGAGAGAAGGGATGGCAGCCGCCAACCAGTCAGAAGGCTGCACTGCAGGGTCTGCTGCAAAACCTGCAGGACCTCCCAGCCCAGAGTGGAAGAAGGGCATCTGTCAACAACGAGGTGGGTGCCCTTCCAGAGTGCACACAGCTACAGGCCCCCTGAAGGATCTGGTTTGCCAAACGTGGTCTCTTCTGGGAAATACGCACATGCTGTCTGAGCCATCCAACATTCCAATGGCCTGGGAATGTGAGGTTAATGCCACCCCATCCCAGCAGTAAGTTGTCTTTTTTTCCCTTCAAAGTACTGCAGCTGTGTAACCTTTCCAATGATCGAAAAGTTGCATTAATATATATTGGCTCCATCATGGATGGGTTCTGGAAACCCTTTAAAATCAATGTTAAAACTCAAGCATTGGTCAGTGGTAGGGTTCCGATACTAATGAAAAATTACACAGAGCTTTGACATGATGGCCGCAAAAAGTAGAAACGAGCAAACAAACAGTCATCCGATACATGTATAGGTAGAGGAAGGCCAACTATGCGATGGATCAATTCCATAAAGGAAGCCACAGCCTTTGAGGTTAGCAGAGCTGAGCAGGGCTGTCAGAGGCAGGACATTCTGAAGGCCTGTCCTGAGCTGGAGCGGATCTGATGGCATGTAACAAGAACAGCAACAGTATTAAGAGATGAAATATCGAGGACCTGATTGCTCGTATTTCCCATATATGTGAGTTCTGAAATACTGTGCCAGTCAGTGGCACAGTAGGATGCAAAGGAGGGGAACTGGTACAACTGGGAAGGAAGAAGTCTATATCCAGGCCCAGGTCCTTGGGGTTCTTTGGAAGTGATATTGCAGCAGTGCAAAACAGAGCAAGGAACATCCTCTGACAGTGTCTCTACGTCATCAACCCAATTGCGCACAGAACCCCTGCAGCGCATAGTGATGAGACATATCCACCTTACCTGCCTGCTTTAGTGATGATCATTTCTGTGCCAATATCATGGAATCTTTTCCAGAGATCAGCACACTGCAACTCCACCTGGATCTCTTCCATGGATGAGGTAGGAGGGGGCTGAGAGACTGAGCCGCCGGATGTGAGATCAGTGTGGGAGCCAAACGAGCAGGAAGTCCTCTCAGCCAGCACTTCAGTGTCTGACCCCGTGCTCTGCTCAGAATCTAAAAGTAAGAGAGAATGCCAAATCAAACTCTGGGTTTCTGGAGCTCCACAAAAGAGGGAGGAATAAAAGGAAGCCAACATGAGAAAGTTTTGAGGCTAGTGCAATGGCATCCCCGTTAAGATATGTATACTATTGTCCTGATTTACAGTTCTGGTGCTTCTGTTAAGTTTTAAAGTCGCTGAACAACATTGTCCACAATATAAAACATAAGTAGTAAAAATGCAATTGAGATACGTGAGAAAGGTACGCACCAATTGTCGATAGTGGAGGATTGGGGTGGGGGGTGGAGAAAGGAAGAAAATTTATTCAACACTGGCCAATTCATTATTCATTCAGTAATGTTGTCCGTCACTCTATATAGGCTGTTCTTGCAAAAATGGTTTTTTTTAGACAAAGGATTTTAATTCTGTCTTTCTCAGACCTTTGTCAAAAATAATGAATAATGCCTTCTGATTTACTTTTTTGGCAGTGCTTACTTTTCAAATATATTTTATTGGTTCCTATGTTATAAGTTTTGGAACAATTATTTTTCCTGGGAAAATAACCAGGTTGCTTTATGGTGGCAGGGTTCTCTACAAAAGAAAAGATGGCAAACACATGGAAAGAATTACTGGGAAAGTAATTGTTATTTCAAAGGACACCTAGACTTTTGCAGGGTATAAAAGTCTGACGAGAGGGAGGGGGGAGGCCAGAAAACGGGGGCTGAATTCTCATGCCAAAATGTTTACAAAAAGCATTCTACAAGCAAAATAGGATTCATTGCATGGCGTAGGGGAGAACTCTTGCCGTTGGACGTTCAGTTGGTCAGGATGCAGGATGGAGACCGCTCAGCCACAGCATCCTGGCGGTAGAATCTCCTCCATTGAGAGGCCCAGCTGGCTTACTTTATTTATTTAAAGCTTTTATATCCTGCCCTTCACAATGTCCCAGGGCGGTAATAGAATAAATACAACAAGATACAGCATCCAAATCATAATAGATAAAATCCAATCTTAAAGGCACTGCTAACTTTTAAATTAATGGGAAAATAAAATGGTTTTGGCCTGGTGCCAAAATGAAGAAAGTGTCAGCACCAGGCACACCTCTCTGGGGACCAAATTCCAGAACTGGGGTGCCACCACAGAGAAGACCCTTCTCCAGGTAGTCACCTTCCTAATCTCTTTCAGGGAGGGCTCCCAGAGAAGGGCCTCTGCCCCAGATCTTAAGCGGTGGGCAGGCACATATGGAAGGAGACACTCCTTCAGGTAACCAGGTCATAAGCCGTTTAGGCCTTTATAAGTCATCATTAGCACCTTAAATTGGGCCCAAACTTCAATAGAAAGCTAGTGCAGATGGTACAGGACAGGAATTATGTGTGTATGTCTGCCAGTCCCTGCTAGCAACCTGGCTGCTCTATTCTGAACCAACTGAAGTATCCTGAAATTTAAGCTGGTTCTCCCATTCTGGTTTTCAGGTGAGTCATCACGAGTTTTCTTTTTGGCCAAGTGTTTGGCATGGTATGACTTGCTTTCCAATGTGCACTTAGATTTGTGTTTTTCTGTTTTTCATGCTCTCTGCTATTTATTTCTGTAATGGTTTTAGAGTCCTGGTGTAATTCTGTCTTCCGTGATTAGTTTTTTGTGGTTAGGTTGCCTTGGGGGCTCAAAGATGCCTTGTGGGCTAACTGGTAGGTCGAAATGTTTTTCTAAATAAATAATTGGCTTCCACCACTGCTGCTGCTGCCGCCACTGGATAGTTCAGGCCCATTTGCTGGATTTTTTTAAAAAATTAAATCATTAAGCCTCCAGCCCTTTTACTTATAGAGCAATACAGGAGGAGGAGCAATAAAGAAGGAAGTATGGGCAGAATCCAAGTTCCTCTCCTTTCCTGAATGATCTGCACTGATGGGAAACAAGAACCTCCGTGTGCATTTTAGTACAGCAAGCTGGGCTGTGGTTTGCTCCTGCTGTGAGGGCCTCTCCATTTTGCAAGCTGAGAATTGGAATATCAGTTATGCCCATATGAAATTTACAGACCCCAACAGTATAGGGAAACAACACATCTCACACTTTAGGCTCACTGTGTTTCAGTAACATAACTTTTGTTAATATTGAAAATGATGCATGTTGGAATGATCAAGCTAGTAATATTGGAATCAGGATATACAATATACAATTGCCTGATAAATATTATCAATATATTACTGACTGATTTTTAATATTAATATGCTGTTTAAATATAGTAAGTCTCTATGTGGTTCACATGCAAACATTAAAATCTCTTTTAAAATGCAATTAGAATACAATAATAAAAACAATTTCAGTTTAAAATATACAGTAATACATGAGCAGTACAAAATGGCTCGCATGAGCAATTTAATAATATGCCAGGGTAAGTCTGGGCAAACAAGTGCATTTCTAGGAGATGTTTGAATCTTTCCAGATTTTCTGCCCCCAAACTGCATGAGGAAGGGTTTTCCAAAGGGTAGGTGATGCTATCAAGAAGACCCACTATGAAGGTATTAAATGGAAGCATCCTATTAATGTTGGAAAGATCAGCAAGGCTTCTTCTTAAATGCTGTCTGAGTATACATAAGGGAAAGTGGCCCACTAAGCAATGGATCCAAAAGTTAGGTTTACAGTACAGTTCTCACACAGGATGTACTTGGAGCTGTATAGGCAGGAAATATAAACAATTCATCACTCCTATAAAACTAACACATGGGAAGTGTTTGATGGGTAGCACTAAGCCGTAATTCCTACTAGTACTTAGCAGTTATATTGCATGTTCAGAACACTTCACATTTGTTATATTTTATTTATTTATTAAAACATTTCTATGCCGCCCCTTGCCGTAGCCTCGGGGCAGCTCACAACATAATAAAATACACAATAACACAATATTGTTAGAACCCTCACCACAACCAGTACCACAAGATACTTTCTTTACTGAAGAAATGATCCAGGCAGCTCAGCCCTTCACAGGTGCATGGTATCTGAGCGAGCGGTGCCTGATCAAGAAAGGGCTCTTGGAGGTGTGATGGACAGTTGGGGGGAAATGCCCGTCCTGTGCAAATTGGCCATAATGTTCCAAAAGGAGCTTTTAACATCCGCTCTTAAACAAGTGAGGGAATATATTTCTATTTCTCCCACTCCAGCCTTACTACCTGGTAGACTTGCTTCAGAAAACCGATGATGCAGATCAACACCCGATAAGCGTTTGAGAAAGACGACCAGTTGCAATCATGGACCAGTTCTAGCTGTGACAGCACGGGGCTACAGCTGCAACTGTGTGTGCAGTTGTGTATTGTATCCCAAGTAAGGGTGAATAGGGGCCTCTCTGAGTGAGACCTTTACTGCGTGCCCAGATCCCTCATTTGCACACGATTGCGTGCTATCGTGCTTCTCCTGCACCTCTCCCAAGTTTGCCAGCCAATTAAGAGGGAGCAAAATCTGGTATTTTCCTAGGTGGTTCCATTATAGGCCATAGTGGCCTTGTGTACTTTCACAATTGCACTCTATACCATAGCACCACCTTGTGTTGCAGAGTGGAACATATTGGAAAAAAACCTTACTAGGCAGGGAGGCCTCAGAGGGGAACATGTCTGCAAAAAACTTGGAAGAAAAAAACCCTGCGTAATCTGCCTTCCAAAAAGAAGCCCTAAGTGAATGGGGGCTTTTTTCCATATGTAAACAACAGGCATGCCCCCCTCCCAAGCCAATGGGAGCTAGAGCAGGAAGCAAAGGGATAACGCTCCATAACCTGCCGAGTTAAGGTCCCAAACCAGATTGTCAAGCCCAAATCCTTCACTAAAGGGCAAACAGCGTAACTCTGCCAGGTTTCTCATCACCTGTGCTCACCTTGCAAACCTTAAAAATTGAATCTATTTTAATATATTGCATTAATTCCACATAACAGGGCACCCCAGTGGCCAAGATTCCCAGAGATCTTTTCACAAGTGAGTTCCTATAGAGCAACACCGCAGTATTACCCTCTGTAAAGCATCGGATGTACTGAAAGAACTGGCATTTCTAAAAGTGCAGTCAGCATGAACCTTTTTAATGTAGTGTTAAATGTAATGTGGCATCTGTAAAAACGTGCCACTAGAGCAGACCTGGGCATTGTATGGCCCACGGGCCACATCCGGCCCGATGGCTGACCCTGACTGGCCCGCATGAGGTCACTGGCAAATTAAAAGTCAATGCAAATATATATCGTCGTAATATAGATGCAAGCAATACAACTGCACTGCTTTTATTTTGAAGGATCTGCTAAATTGAATTGAATTTATTGCTTTTCATGTAATGTTAATGTTAATGTTTTTGTGAATATTCATTAAGTAGTGTTGTTCTGTGCTCCACATTTTCATTGTATCATTGTAATGTTTCATTTATTGTTTTTATAGAGAGATATTGAGCAGAGCTGTAAATGTATTGGTCTGGCCCTTAACAGCTGTCAAAGTTTCTCATAGGAAAATTAATTGCCCACCCCTGCACTAGAGGAATATCAAGGAGCTGAACAACAATTAGGTATAACTGCCTTTGCAACATTTCATCTGCCCTTTAACACTTGTGCAATGCGCTTGATTTTCCCTCCCAGAAGTTAAATTTTCATCCCCACCTTGGCTTTTCTGGGCCACCTTTTATGCAAACTTGCCAGACAAACCAGTGCAACCCAGAAAAACAGCTGAAAGACACATCTGCTCTGCTCCCTCCACAGTTTCATTTCTTTTTCTTTTCTTTTCTTTTTTTAAACCCTGAGACTTCAATGGAACCGAAAATATCTCATAGGAGAGCCTTTGCAGCATGCTGTGAGCAATTTAAAGCTGCCAAAAGCATATCAATCAAAGCCCATTGGAGACTCTTCCATCTTCCAACCAAGAATTTTTAGAGAAAATGCAAGGGAAGCTGCTGTCACACACGCACGCACATGCACATACGCGCACACGCACACAGTCCAAATAAATTTCTGCAGCTGGAATAGCTTCATTAGAGGCTTCCCATAAAGATTTCAAGCTGT